TATAAACCTTTTTTTCAGATGTGATGTTATGTCGATTTCTTAGAATGGCTAACTTTCATTGAATGCTTACTCTGCACTGAGTCAGTTCTCAAATAAACCCTAAGACATAAATTCTATTATTAACAGCATTTTTCAGGTCAGTAAACTTAGTTACAGACAGATTCAGGAACATGTCCAAGGTATACAGTTAAGTGTAAGGTGTAAAGTATAAAGTGATAACTAGTCTTTGTGGAAATTTTTTGCTGTCTATTATTCTCTGTGATGATATTTAAAGAGGATGTTGTCCACATGCTTTCTAGACCACTTCCTATTAGAAAATGTTTGCAGGTCCAAGATGTGATACAAAGCTTAAGAGTAAATGACTTTTTAAACCAGGCACATAATTTCTTACTACAAGTCCTTTAAAAGATGAGCAGTCTTCTAATCTACTTGTTTAGAGTCAGTTCCTCATGCCCACATTCTTTCTTGGGCATAATTTTCAAGGCTAATTTATTTCTTTGCTTCTTTGCCTTCTGGAGATTACTTTGAAGATTTCTGCAACAAGGAGGCCACACTCGACACAACCAGATATGTTGTTTAAGAAGTTTTACTGGACCTTTGTTGTTAAATACTTTTTAAGTCTTACTTCAAATTAATTGTGGTCAAGAAAAAGTCTTCTTTTTCAGTCTCCTAAGTTCTGTGATATCTGAAACTTCTCTATTTTTTTTTTCACTTATTTTAAAAAGATAATTCTGGTCTGGGCTCATGTTTTATTTGAAATATCTTGCTAACAGTAGATACTACAAACTAACACTGTCTACAGTAGTAGACATTCCAACCACTTATTTTAGAAATTCAGGCTCACTGACTGCATGGCTGCTTTACATGTTGTCACAGGTTCCAGTTTTACCAAATGTTTTGCTGTGTTGTAAGATAGATCTCCTGGTTTCTTCAAGCTTGAGAGACCTATTTCTTCTGTCTGCCACCCTACGGCTGGGAACTGCCACATATTTCAGCTGCTTGTTAGTACTCTACTTCTGGCAGTAGTTAACGGCAGTTAATTTATCATTAAGTAATTCTAGCTGCTGTAGTAAACACACTCAAAAATATATGACCTCACCATAATATTAGTTTCTTTTTGTTCATATAAAGTACAAAATGAACATTCTTGATCAGCAGGCAGATCTCCGAGTATTGATTCACAGATTTTTGCTCTTTCTATCCTTGTTGGCTCTGCCATCTTTAACACTGTGCTCTCAACAGCATCAAGCTAGCAAAAGGCAAATTGCACACGAGAGCACTATATGGGTCAGTTTAGAGGTGGCATGTGTCACTTCTCTTCATATCTTACGGGCTAGAGCTTAGGCACTAAGCCATGTCTTACTTCAAGAGTGGCTAGAGAAGCATAGCATGACTGTGTTCCCAGGAAGAGGAGGAAATTGTGAGGAGCTTGTAGTTTTTCTCAGGGTCAGAAAATATTCAACCTTAATAGTCCACTGAGTCATATTTGAATGTTATTGATTTTTGCTCCTTTGAAACAATTTTTTTAAAGTTACCATATTATTGAGTTTTGCAATTAACTTACTAAATACAAGATAACTTAGAATTTATGTACTATTTCTAAGAGAGAAATTGTAAGTTATTTTGTAGTTAATAAGTTAATTGCAACTCAAATCTTTAATATTTCAGGTAATACCTTTTTTTCTCAGATATTGGAAAGGTCTGAGTTATTCTTCCAGAACTTAAGGATTTCTAATTAATGTCATAATTTGTATATGATTCTCCTCTTAAGTTACATTTTAAATTTAGCTGTTTAGAGAATAAAAGTTTTTAACAACTTTTAAAGCTGGTAATGTCTATAGATATTGAGAGGAGATATAATATAGTAGGTAGTACAGTGAACTCTGAAGCAATAATCTCTGGGTTCATAAACTCACTTTACACTTCTTAATTTGGAGTTCTTCCAAGAGCGTAGAATCAATGCCAAAGAATTTCCCCTCTATCCTAGGACAAAGTTCTTCACAGGGCCTGCTCAGTAGAATTTAGGAATTGCTAATCTTCAATAACTACAATGTGTCTCCTATTCTTTCCTTTATGAATGGGAGATGATATTGCAGTTATTCTGTCCCTCTTCAACAGTACATTAGAGAAGGAAGTGGATATATATGGGTGTGGGTGTACACATGTGTGTGCAAGTACATGACTTGGAGATAGTGGACTTTGAACTTGATGCAATTTCTAGATAGCAATTTGGGTTGGAACTCTTGATAAGTGGTAAATATATAATATATGTGGGAAGAAGAATGACGTGGATATTTGGTGATCAGAGAAGTGAAATGTGGCAGAGATTGATCATTGTTCACCAGATGGTTTCCTCTTTCTCCTGATCATTCAGACACACTGTATTTCCCAGCTTCCTTTACAGTTACGTGTGGCCATGGGACTGAATTGTAGTCAATGGAATGTGAGCAGAAGGGATACGTTATACAACTAGTTTTGTCCTTAAAAGTTTTGCCCCTGAAATTCTCCAAGCTCTTTTCCCTTCCATTGGCATAGAATTTTAGAATTCACATGCCAAAGGTATCAGAGCCATAAGAGGGAAGGAGCATGGATCTCAAATACCATTTAGAAAAGAGCTTCTTGGCAATCATTAATGCTAGTCTTAGATTTTATGAATTAATAACTAAGAATGAAATATGCATGCTGTTTGAACCATTGCTTAGTTATGGCAGCTAGTGTACCTAAATAAATACACATACTTTGAAAATAACAAAATGAAAATAAATCTTATTGTCACATAGTTATTAGGCTATACATTGGATATTAATTATATGATGTATAAATATATATAAATCTCTACATGTCTTCTGCCACCATAAAACCATATCTTCTTTATGGCATTTTAAAACCGTGAGTGCCATCTTGTTTTAATGACTGGTGTGATAAATATGCTACTTTTGGAAAATTAATAAAACAGGAGTTCTTTACAGTAAAATTTCAGTGACTTCTCAGAATTAACTATAACATATTACATTTCTAATATCAAATCAAATGTAAACAATATAAAAGTCATGTTATTTTTTCCATACGAGTTTGAATTGGAACTTGGTTACTTCCTGAATGTTCAGTGTCCATCCCTTATCTCAGTTACAAGTAAAACCAAAGCAGCTGATTGAAGGACATGAATTATAACAGTGCCATCAGAAACCTACTTAGAGCTAACTCTGTGGCAGAGGCAGTTCACATGGCTACTGTCTTATTTATGCTAGAGAAGTACTTCTATAGAGTTCATACTAACAGAGTATCTTGAACACATTGAAAAATTAACGAAGGCTTCAGAATTGACAAAGGCTTTAGCAGGAAGTATAAGTATGCTCTATCAACAAGTACTAAGCACTTTACCTGGCCTTTATCACTTAATTCTCACAAGAACCCTCCCAGATACCATGATGCCGATTTACAGAGAAGGATCCTGAGTTGAAAGAGGCTCAATCCCTTGCCTGATACTCACACACTCAGTGTTGGAGCAGGTATCTGAGCTCAGGCAGTTTGACTCCACAGTCCAAACTTTGAACCACATTCTATACGTTGAGATCGACCTTAACTATGAGTTCAGCAGGAATAAAAGGCACCATTACCTTTATTTTCACAAAGAAAGAAACTCAGAGAAAATTTTAGCACTTTTCACAAAGATGAAGAATTAGCAATAACTTCGGTAATGTGATATTGCCCACTATTAAAAAATATTGCTTAAAGCATCAATACAAGAAGAAAAATTTTTTTTTTATAGAGACGGGGTCTCACTCTTGCTCAGGCTGGTCTCGAACTCCTGATCTCAAGCCTCAGCCTCCCAGAGTGCTAGGATTACAGGTGTGAGCCACCACGCCCAGCCAAGAAGACAATTTTTAATATAGAATTAAAAATATAATGATTAGTGCCTCTTCTCTCTACCCATATCAGCAGACTTGTTTCAATAAAATTAAAAAAGGCTTGATTATTAAAATATCCTTCTACAAATCATCGTAATATATTAAGAAAAAAGATAAAATAAAAACAAACCAGATAAAGCACAGTGCCAGAGGTAAAAGAACATATTTTCAACTATGTAATGAAGGATGATATGACTATTATAACCTATACTCTGGCAGCACCAAGATAGATGATCCAATGTTGGGATTATAAAGTCTCAAAAGAGATATTCCAATCTTCCTCCTGAATAGTCTGAGGGGTAATTTTTTTTATAGCATATATCTTCCTTCAACTTGATACCATTTTTTAAGAGGCTACTATATCTAGACTGTTTTAGGTGGTACAGAGGACAAAACGCACTGGCCTAGGGGTTTTTAGTGACAATTTGTAAACTCAAATTGGACGTATGTGAACTAAAATAATGGATCTCCAACATGATGTTAAATAAGACTCAGAAACCCAAGTATTTTCACCAAAAAGACTTAACCTTTATACCCTGGGAATATTATAAATAGACTCATGTCTACCCAGTCACAATGTGACTCACAGAAATGTGTGGTTGTTAGAATCACAATATAAACAGACAACTACTCCTAGAGACTCCAGCCTCATAGTTATTTTTTAAAACATAGTAAAAGAGCTGGGGGGCCACTGTGAGCAAGGAGCCAGGTGTACATTTTTGTTCCATTTAGTGGTTGGCCTCTAACTACTTAAGCAAGTAGCTGTGAATTTACTTGGATTTGGATGATAAGTTTAAACTCTGAGTATTTTTCAGAGAAATACCTGAAAACGACTAGCAGAAGCCTCCTCTCCACGTGGGCGCTTCTCCTGTGACTGTTGTACCATATGAAGTTGGACAACCTGACTTCTGTGTCCTGTGTGGGACTTTGCCCCGACACACATACTCATCTGAGGGCCCAGCATCGACAGGCAACCTTGAGCAAGCTTATTTAGTTATTTCAAAAGAGCAAATATGTTTTTATGTTCCAATGTTTTCCAGCATTTTAAGAAACAACTAATATAGTTATTATTCTAAGAGACTAAGAACTTACAGTCTGATAGGGACTGCACAGAATATTGCATGTCTGATGAAGGTCTTGAACTATGAAGTGACAATTTGAATTTTTCCTTATCCCTTTCTTTTTCTCCATCTTTATTCCGCTTCTTCCCGAAGTCTTTTGTATCTGCTTTCTCTGACATATTAAAAGATTTCAGTAAATCTTTTAACTAGAAAACCTCGAACTATGTTTCTTATTCAGTCATTGTGTTGGGGGGGGGAAATAGTATTACTTAAACGTAAAACTATAACTACAATTTCCCTAAAACGCAATTCCCTCTAAATAGAAACATCACAATAAAGCCAGAAAAAAAAACTTTTAAAATTGACATGTACAGTGAAAGAAATGCATTACTTATTATCTACTACATACAATTTTGTTTCATGGTGATAATTATCTGAATATATTTCATTTATGTAAAATTATAGTGTCAGGCTAATTTTATCATTTTAAAAATGAAAACAAAAAATAGCAAAGCATGTACTGAAAATTGAGCCCCAAATGTGGACCCCTCTCAGATTTTCCTTATTTGGAGCCTCCATCTGAAGAAAGCACAGTTTTCTGTCTCCAAAATATCTTCTTGCAGGGCCTGGAATCCAACCAGCAACCACAAACCAGCATAAAATTGCCAACACAGCTCGGGTAATAAAGCCCTTGTACCCAGAATTATCCTCATCAGTTGAATTCCCATTCATATATGTGTGTGTGTGTGTGCATATGTAAATATGCACACATAAATACACACAGATTTTTATGAAACATGCCTTCCTTCAATTTAAAACAATTTCCCTCAACATTTTTATCCCTAATAAATCTCTTTTAATTCTGAATCAGAAATTTTAGAATTCTACCATTTCATTCTCTGCATTATCTGCTAAATATGTAATCATCATTGGTCAGGTGGTTCAATTTTTTAAATTTTCATAAATAAAAACTGTGACATTAACTAGTTATAATATTCCTTAGCCTCCAAAGTGAAGCTGTTTCATATCTTAGCTTTTGTAGTAGATTTAACACTTACGTTAGATACAAAAGTAGAGATAACTATAACTTTAAACATAGGATGAGGCATTTAACTGGAAAACTTAGGTGCAAAAAATAGTTTATTATCAGAATTTTATTTTATGGATTTTCTATATATATTAATGCAAGAAAACTAATCTTGGGTAGCAATATGTGATTTCATGTATAATTTTAAAATAGGACTTTAAAAGCCTTCAAACTCCTATTCAGAGTTTATGTTTTATAAAACTAAAATACAAATTATAAATAGAAAAAATTAAACTGTTTCACATAGAAATTTGGATAGTGTACAATATTGCTTACCAAAATGTGTTTTTGCCAAAACCCTAAATAAGTGTTGCTCCTCTGACATTTCATCCCACCCATCTGGCAAAGCCCCACTCTGAATAAAATTGGCAGCAGAGTTCTGCTGGAGATAATCCTCCCCTCGTTCTGCAAACCTCGCCACATCTATTTTAAATCTCCATGAGAATCTACATCTTCCACCTCCACCTCACTCTCAGCTCACAGCTAGACTGTCTATAAACAGAGAAAATAGAAGTCTTTTGTCAGAAATCCTCATCTTCTCCTACCAAACCTCCTTACCCATCTACACCTGTATCCATCCGCCCACTACATGTGCCCACCTGTTGGAATGGAGATGCCATCACTCCCCCTGGGGTGGGCCAATCCCTCCAACTAGGCTGCGGATCCTGTTCCTTCTGCCTTCTCAAAAAATTTACACTGTTTCTGTCATCTCAGCTGGATCTTCCCAATCATCACTTAAAATACTCAATTCTCCCTCATTAATTAACAAATATATATCCTGTTTGGGTTCCACATTATTCCCTACCAGCTTCTACTTTGCAGCTCTCCTGTTCTTCAAGGCCAAGTTTCTAACAGAGTTGTTTATACATTATTTTATTTCTCACTTATTTCTTACCCCTCTCCAATATATCTTCCACCCCCCTCACTCCCTAGTGGCCAATGACCTCCATATTACAAAATCTGATGGAGAAATTTAAGTTATTATTGCAGTTTATCTCTCAATATTTTACTCAATCTGTGATTCTTAAAACACCTTTTCTCTTTGACTTCAATGCCAAAATGCTCTGCTGTTGTTTTCCGTGCTTCTCTGTCCACTCCTTAGTCTTCTTCAGCAGCTCATCATTCTGTACCAAGCTCTCAGATATTTGTTTAGCTTCTTCAAGACTCCATCTCAACCTCTCAAGTCTCCTCACTCTATACTGTCCCATTGGGAAATATCGTTCATAGTTTAATTTTCCATGCATTTGTCCATGACACCAAATGCATATCAACAGTCTGGGACTCCTAACATGAAAACCACACTTGATTGTCTTAAAACCACTTCAAGTTCAGTATGTTCAAAATCATTTTGTGATCTCTTCTAATAGGTACCACAATCTAACCAGTTTCGCAACTCAGAATTCTACAAATCATCTTTGCCAACTCTAACCATTTTTTACTTCTTAAATAGGAGAAAGAGGTGTTTGATGGAAATTGAGAACTTAATGTTTCTTCCTAAATTAATACTGCATTAATTTAGTAGCATCAAAGTAGAGCATTGCCTTTGATTTTTAAAGAAAGCAAAATATGGAATAATAATTAACATATAGTAAACGTCATTATAAGTTCTAAAGTCCTAGAAGAGAAAGATATTGATTACGTGGCTGTTTCCACAAACACTTAAGAAATGATAATGACAAAAAAGAATCATTAGAACAATTCAACAATTGTAAAGCATTTATATTCACTGTCCACACTGAATAACATTTTGATATAAAATGTCTTACCCTTTGGAAGTTTGTCACCTTTTTCTGGACCTTTCAGTGTTGTCAAGGAAGCTTCAGGTTTGAATTCTTTCCCGTCTTTCACTTCTTTTCCCTCCTTCCCTTCTTTGCTGTCCTTCACCTCTTTCCCTGGTTCTTTTAATTTGGTGTCTACTACTGTTGTTTTGCTCTCAGAATTGGCCTCATCTGACAGCTTAAACTCAGGCAATGTTTCTTTCAAGAGCTCCCACACTTTGTCCATATATCCTGGGCTTAAGAGAAAAGACATTGACATTAATTTCTAAATGATGCTTTTTGTTATTTTTTTTTTTTTTTACTTCACATCAGGACAAAGCTCAGTGAGATATTACATGTGAGAGGTGAGGAAAATGAGTGATCAAGGATGACTGTTAGTTTTCTCTTTACCTTGAGTAACTATTAAATAGGTGGATGGTGGTGCCATGTCCTCAGATGAGGCATTCTAGAAAATGGGCAGGTTTGGAAGATTGAGATTCAAGAGTTCGTTTCTGGATATTCTGTGTTAGAGATACATTTTTGATATCCATATATCTATATCTTAATAATTTAGGCAGTTGTATATAAATACAATCTAGATTTCAGTAAATGGTTCTTAGACAATGGTTCTTAGACCAATGGTTCCTTAGGAGATACAAACTTGAAAGTCTTTGACAAATAGCTTGTGATTTAAAGTCATGGGACAGGAGCCTTGTTACATACCATCATTTCGTGTACGTGCAATGGATGAGGAATTATCCATGAAGGCTGAGAAAGAGCAGAAAATAAGATAGGAGAAAAACCTGGAGAGTGTGCTGTGCTCTGCAGAATCAAGTGTTGCAAAAGAAAAGAGTTGTTCAAGAGCATCAAATACTGGTATGCAAGTAAAAGGGGCAAGAAAAGTGACCACTGGATTTGACAACATTAAGGTCTTTGTTGCCCTTAAGAAGAGTTGTTTCACTGGTACGATGGACAAGGAAAGACAAAGAGTCAGATGAGAAGAGACAGGAAGATGAGGAGATAAAGACAGTGTGTACTGACAACTCATTCATTAAGATTTTCTCTGAGGAAAATAAGAGAGATGGACTGGGGGCTTGTAAATAATAACTGGTTTCCTTATGCATCTGTGATTTGCTCTAGCACCTGAACTGCCTCCCAGCCCTCGCTGGACCGCCAGTACCTAGCAGAGAGAGGGCCTTCAGTACCTGCTATTTTGCATTTAATCCCACAAACGCTCTGCAACATAGGTAGTACAATCTTAACTGAGGTTTAAGAGGTTGGAAATTGTAGCAAATAATAGACTCAAAATTCAAACAGAACTTTCTGAATGCAAAACCCATGCTTTTTTTCCTCCATCTACAGAATAAAAAATGCTACACTATGAAAAAGACATATTCAAAGACCACAGAAGGAGATTATATAACTTCTTGGACAATTAGGCTGAAAGAGGGGTGAACAGTGCTATATTCGCAGATGAACCACGTATCAGAGAAATGTGCCAACAGAAGAGTGATTTCTCCATTTGACATTTTCAGATTTCTAATTTACACTCAGATACATCAATGACTGTTATTCTGTTATTATACGGAAAATTAGAAAATTAGGAGAGATTCTTTTTTGATTTTCAACAGCAAAACTTTAGTAATTGTAGGAAAACATAAGAGGCAAGACCAACAACTGCAAATAGAGCAGTGTCTCCCTTTGGTGCTCACATGGGAGAGTAGAAGGGAAGGAGCTGTCTGTTGGAGTTGCCACAAAGCACATTTTCACCCCAAGTGAATTTCACGGGAAAAATTCAGTAGATAACACAAGTTTGAAAGGTTAGCACCCTAATTCTCCTTGACTTCCAAAAAACCATCAACACCACTGGGCCAATTTTTCTATATACCTGAATCCTTCTTAGTAACAGAAACATGCACTCCTGAACTAACCACACCCTTTGCTCACCTTGTTCTCCTGCCTTCCATGCTCCTTCCTTCCTTTTCATCAGTCTGGTCCCAATTGCCTCCATGCCTTCCCTGACCCCTCCCCAGCATCCTTGGTAGATGGCAATTGCTTCCTTTTTTCAACTTAAACATTTCTTGACAATCATTTATACACTACTTTATGACATCCTTTTCATTTAAAATTGTATAGATATGCTAATCAGCTTTTAAATTTTATAGTAAAATTATAATTTAAAATACTTGAATGATGTGGCAGAACATTCATTTTTCAGGAAAAATCCTGAAAATCATGACACGGCAGATCAGTGTATGTTTCTTTTACTTTTTAGTTGTATTTAGAGGAAAATGGATAAATTCAGTTATCTGAGTCAGCCTCGTTTCTTCTTCTTTATGCTTTTCTCTGTTTCCAAAGGTTGATTATGAATCACCATACATATTTCTAGATAATATTAAATAATCTAATGAAAGTTGTTAGAGACAGGAAGGAAATTTTCCCTAATTATGTTTCTACCACACATCACCTACTTTTTCTGACATGCCGACCTGGTTAACGGGGTCACTTGGATAATTAAATGAGATAATCCTTCCAAGACTATGGTTTTAAAATTATAAATAATATATTAAAATACCTGATGGATAGTAGGTGTTTTATTATGATTATTTCCTATATGTATGGCTAATTAAAGCTGCTTTTATGTTTCTCTATTGAAATACATGGGATAGCTGTATACATATAAAGATAAATCTGTGTATGTTTTACCATAATAAATATTATTGTTTTAATATTTGTAAGTCAGAATTTAAGGATTAAATTCATAATGTGTATGAGTGTGGGAGAGTAGTATATGCTGCCCCAAAATATGAAGGATTGTTGAGCTGAAGGCAATTAAGTACAAGGAGATACAGCGAATCTCTCCACCCTCTGTCTGTCTAAAAGTAGGACACTGATTTACAAAGACAAAAAGGTACCTGGTCCTTCATCCCCTGGCTTCTGCCATGGAGAACACAGGTTAACCACTGAAGATAGCTCTGGACTCCATCACCTGAAGATGGTAGCATAGGAATTCGCATTAACAAGCTTTATTAACTAGCCTTTATCTATCATTTATTTGTCTTCCCGCACGTTGTCACCTGCAGAAACTCAAAGTCCTTTTCCTTCGATCACCTCTCTAAAAATTTGCTTTTCTTTGTTGAAGATGCCATATAAGCTGGAATTCAAAGCCATCTCTTTGAGAACTATTTATTCCCTCAGTGTATCCCATGTTTATGGTAAATATACATGTTAATAAACTTCTGTTTGTTTTTTCTTGTTAGTTTGTCTTTTGTTACAGGGTCAGATCTAAGAACCTATGAGGGTCATTCTTTCCCTATATAAGGAAACAGAGCTTACTCTGAAATTCCCAAGGAATTTATGTTATATAAATGTTATTTTCCCAAACATTTTATAAAATATGGCCTTTTTTTTGAAATGTTCATAATGACTAAAGATATTTTAAAGAAATCTTGAAAGAAAAAAATAGATATGAGCAACTTAATGGTCAAACTTACTGAAGAGAAATGACTTCTGGTAACCACCCCGTGAGAGCATGAATAACTGTGAACTCTCCCAGTTCTCTCCTTTCTGCTACATGGATGCTGAAAAAGAAAATGCACAATGCTATAGTTACCAAAATTTGATAACACATAAATATATATAAGAACTCATATATAAGTACTTATAACATATGCATAACTAAGAATATATTTAAATATATTTTAAAATAGAACAGTGTTTTTTGTCATTATGATTTCAGTAATTATTTTAAGATGCCTATAAGGCTGTGTATTAAATAAGTCCTGTCTATGACAGGTCAAGATGAGCATTAGAAGTCCTTAACGAAATCCTTAGATAACCACAGAGAAACTAGAAACATCTGTTATAGCCTGCCAGTATAGCATAAAATCAAATGAGGTTGCATTAACCAAATGTCGGTATTCTCATTTAGTCCTTTTATTTTTTTTCCTGAGGTGATTAGGCCACTGACATTTATACACAGAAATGTCCTATCTCCCTTCCGCCCAGGAGTCACAGCTTCCATCAACCATGTGTCAATGGTGGTGTTCATGGTGTTGGCCAATACACATGTCCTTGTCTTCAGAAAGAAATCTTACTTAGTCACATATTCCATTATTTATAAATATGCATTTGTTTTGTTTATGGATTATGAATTTCTATGTGTCTACATATCTCAAAGATAACAAATTTCTGTTGAGATGTTTTACAGTCTAGTTTAAATTCCTCTTTGGATAATTATATTTATCTCATAGAAATATTGCTCTTTTCTTTGCATATCTCACATTTATATTGAAATAACTACTAGGTATTCATTTTTTAAATGTAGTAAGTCCAACCTTGTATGAAAATAATCACCATATACTATGAAATCTGGAAAGACTTTATAGAAAAACATAAATTTTACCATGTAAGGCAGGTTTCTACCAGAAATCCTAAGAAATGTATTACACTTAGCATGGTCCTTTATTCCAAGCTGGATTATTAATAATAATAACAATAATAACTCTATTATTCATGTTGCTATAAAACTCTACTGAACTACAGCTTTAACAAAGACAAAATGCCACTCCAATTATCCGGATCATGTATTTAATGCTTCACTGCTCTTGCAGCTTTAATTCTCAGAATTTCAAGTTAGGTCTGAGAAATACAAACATTAGGAACATTTTATTTTCCAAATAAACAAACATAGTTGCTGCCTGCGTGAACACTTAGTGGTATTCAGCTACCTAAAAAGATCTGGGCTGTGTTTTCATAAAAACCATTGCAATTAAGGGCTGAAAGCTAGGTGAAACAAATTCCCAACAGGAAATTGAGGGCTGGTAAGAAAAAAGAGTTGAAGAGGATGGCAGTAGGAGTGGTTGTTTTTGTTTTGTAGCCTTGGGAGAGAAAAAGGAAGCTGAGCCAAAAGAAAATCCACACAAAGCAGAACTGGCTTCTAACTGACACTGCAGTGTTCACAGGGGAGGGACGCTGAGCTCTGAGCCAATGGCTGACAAGTCTGTTAAAGCATGTGGGTGTGTTCTGCTGAGTACAGAGAGGCTATGACACACTGCAGGAGGCGGAAGGGCATAAAATCCAGGCCTGTGCAGTGAATGTGAGAATTCTCCTGCACGGCAATGATATAAAGTTGCCATGCGTTTCTGATTCAAGCATCCAAGCTTTTTTTGCATGGCTTGGCCTAGGACGGAATGACTGCTTGCCTCTGGAAGTGGAAGCTGAGAAAATAGAACACAACAGACGTGTCTCATTTATGTTGGTGCACAAGTCATGCAGGAATATGCAACACAAATAGATTTTGTAAGAATAGCGAAGGAAATGTGAGCAGTTTTCATCACGAATCAGTGATCAACGTCACCAAAAACATGAGGAACACACTAACATCCTTCAGAAGAGTTCATGTTTTTCAAGATTATTAAGTTATTGCTACATGTACAGAATTTAAAACCTTAACTGGATTCTAGTACATGTTATTCAGTATTTAAATGAACCAATATTTTTCCCATACAGAACATTTTTTTCTCTCATTAAGCTGAAACATTATTTTTCATGATCAACTTTTCACTGATAGTAAGAAAGAATTGACTATAGAATAATTGTGTGTATTTTTTCTTGGGGAAATTTTGTCTTATTGTTGGTTAACCCAATATGTGAAATCAGTGGCTTTGGCACATTTGTTTTTATTCTAGAAAGAAAGGAAATTCTCTTTTAATTGACTTTTAAAAAATAAAACTATGCATATGGATGTGTAGTTGTTGCTGTTTGCCTTTTTTTTATATAAGTGAATGATAATTTCTCACTACTTACTCAACATTTGCCAGCTTAATGATAGCTTTAGACAAAAGCATTGGCCAGAGTTCAAATTCATAGGTTGTAGCTGGAAGCAATAGATTGTTATCTTCATCAAAGGGCAGAAAGTCATCAATAGTTATCTTTCTCCAGCAACCCTAAAAATAAGAAGAAAGAAATGTAATACTGTCAATAATTTATAATAGTTTCGCTGATAGATTATTGTACACTGCTGGCATTACTATTTATTATTTTTTTAATTTTATTTTAGCATCTCAACATTTAAACCTGACATAATGATTTTCAATACTATTCTGGTTGAGCATTTCAGCTTATCATTTTATTTCCTATAATTACAGTATATCCATATCTTTTTCAATACTGTCCTTATTTATGAGATCTTGTGAGTAAATGCCTGGGTGTCTCCTCCTACGTAATGCAGTAAATTAACATGTTTCAAATAGCAGAATCAAAACATTAGGCAACCATGGATAAGCTTGGACATAATTAAATAACTTTATACAATTGTAATATAAATTCTCCAAATATAACTTTAGTAATTATTGTTAATCTTGATATGTGCTCACTGATCATACACTTCTAATTCCCATATTACTTCCACTCTTAATTAAAGATTTAATTTTTTACATGAAGTGAATTAATATCTTATTTAATAAAATCATTATGTATTTACCTGTATGCATATTACTTCATAATTAAAAGCATGAAACAAATGTTAACATTAATGATTGTGAACTCAAATTAAGACTTTTTCTGTTACTTTCTTCTTATATGCTAAGTTTTATTACGAACTCATTCCTTTGCCAAAAAATATTTTCAGTGATTACGTCAAGCATTGCAAATCCAAAGATCTGCATAACAATGGCCTATACCACTGAATTACTTATAGTCCAGTGGGGGAAGGGACATAGGCAAACAACAGAAACTAGGATGTGTTCAAAGTGCCCTAGGACCAAACAGCAAAGTATGATTAATTGTGCCGGAGGAAGTCTTTACAAGAAAGTGACATTTGAACTTAAGATTTAAGGAAGAGCATATTTTTCCCAGGTAGATAAGAACAATGGGTGAAATACATTTTCTTTGTATGAAACTTGTAACACTGAACTTCATATTACCTTTTTTAGTTGTTACGTGTCTTCTTTCTTCCGTAATAGATGATACAGAGCAAGACAGAGTTAAAAGCACAGATATTTAGCCATACCCTCCTCTAATTTCAAAGGAAATGCCAAAAAGAATACACAGAGAAATAGGCCAGATGCAAAAGGAAAAATACTGTATGATTCCACTTCTTTGAAGTACCGAAAAAAGGCAAGTTCATAGAGAGAGAAAGAAGTTACCAAGGGCTGGGAGGAGGAGAAAATGAGAAGCTATTGTTTAATGGGTATAGAGTTTCTGTTTGGGATGATGGAAAATTTGAGAAATAGATAGCGGCGATGGTCACACAACATTGTGAAAATACTTAATGCTACTGAATTGTACACTTAAATGGTTAAAATGTTAAATGTTGTTATATGTATTTTGCCACAATAAAAAACTTGCAGCAGGAGTTTCCTACTTACATTCTGATTTTCAGAAAATTATTTGAAAAGGCATACTGGAGTCCTATGAAGAAAGTTTTAACCAGCCCTAAGAACTTAAGTAAGACCAGTTCGACAAATACCACCTGTTTCTATTATAGATGATCAATGGCATTTTTCAATTAAGAATGCTTTCATTATTAAATATCATT